ATCAAGAGGTAAGGTCCAGTGCCCTGTAACTTGGTGGTTAAGGGAGCTGGATCCCACATGGCTGATAGTGGTTTGAATCCCAGACCCCTCGATAAACACTCTGGGCATGTGTACATCATGTGTACATCAATCCCAGGGAGAAGGGATTGTCACATGACCATGCCCCATTGGAGGGTGCTTTCTCCCTCACCCTCTCCCTCTGTCTCTCCCTGTTTCTCTCTGGTGAGCACATACTCTCTGGAAAATTAAGGGAACAAAGAAAAAGGTAGGGTCTGTATTCCCTCTCCTTGAAATGGGGTAGGTCTTTAGAACTGCTTCAACCAAAAGTGTGTGCTTGGACCGCAAAGGCCATACTACTTCCGCCTGGCTCTTTCTCTTAGGACAGGTACCTTTGGAGTCTGGACGCTCTGCATGAAGTTTGGTAACCCTGAAGTTGCCATTCTGAGAGACCATGGAGGGGGTAAAGAAGCTCAAGCTGCCCTGGCTGTTTCTGGCTCCAGCTGTTCAGGTTTCCCCGGCTTGGGCTCCAGAGCCATGCACAACTGAGTATTCCCATGATTTAAACTCAGCACCTCAGATCCACCCCAGCTTCACTGAGTGGAACAGAAAGTAGCTATTCTGGTTGAGCCCTGCCCAAACTACAGAGTTGTGAGTGAAGCAAATGTTTCAACCTTAAGCCGCTAAGATTTGGGGTGGTTTGTTATGTGACCATAGTAACTGGAATGAAGACAGGCAATAAACAAGATAGATAAGCAAAAATACAGACACTGGTTGGATGCTAAGAAGAAAAACATCAGGGACGGGAGCTATAACATGTTGGGGGTGGGTTTGACATTTTATTTGAGGGTGTGCTATAGTTTGGGAGTCTCCTCCCCCAAATTCTTATGTTAGAACTTGGTTGTATTGTGAAGGTATTAAGAGGAAGTTTCATAGCTTTGTGTTGTTAAAAAGTGGGACCTTTGGGAGTGATTAAGTGGTAGTTCGGGTGTGGCCCCTATGATTGATGCCTAGTGGGTTTATAAGGAGAGGGAAGGAGATCAGAACAGAGATACGTGGGTGACACAGTAGCTCTACACTTGCCTTTGTGTTGTGATGCCTCGGGACCCTGCAAGTTCCCCATAGATGTGGCCCCTAAACCTTGGACCTCCAAACCATGAGCTGAATTAACCTCTCTTTTCACAAGTCACTCATGTCCAGGTCTTTTCTGATATAGCAACAAAACAGGCTAAGAAGGGTAGCTAAGAAAGGTCTCTGTGAAAAGGCAACTTTTAAGTAAAGTCCTGAAGGGGAGTGAGGTGGCTGGCTGCATGGGTCATTCCAGGCATGGAGGACCAGAGACATGCTTGGTGTGTCCCAAGAACAGGGAGGAGATCAGTGTAGCTGGAAATGGGAGAGGCACAGTAGGAGATGAGGTCTGAGAACTAATAAGGAGTCAGAGCATATGGGATTTATAGGTCTCTGTATGGACTTTGACCTTTACTTTGAATAAGATGGGATTATTATAAGCTTTTTGTTTGTTTTGTTTATTTTTTTTTAGAGATTTTTGATATCGGGCGTGTGTGCTCACCAGAGAGAAAGAGAGAGACAGAAAGCAAGAAATCACCCCCAAGAGAAGATGGCCACGCTGCAATCCCTTCTCCTCCATTCTTCTCTCAGGATTTTGGGCATGTGTGAACACATGCCTGGTATGAGTTTTAAGCCACTGGTTCCATGACTTGAACCATGGTCGACTACATGGGAGTCCAGCAGTGACATAACCAATACACCATCTGCTGGTCCCATCATTATAAGTTTTAATAAAGGCGTGACATGATTCTATTTTAATCAGATCGCCTTTTGTGTTAGTATTCCTAGAAGTGAAGTTCTGAAGCAAGGGATATGCGTCCTTTGACTTGTCTTCACTGGTAGCCCAAGATTATGATAGAATTGCCTACACTGATTTTCTAGGACTGCTGTAACAAATTACCACAGACTAGGTGACTTAAAACAATATAAATGTGTTGAGTTGCAGTCCTAGAGGCTGGAAGGCTGAAACAAGATCAATGGCAGGGCCACACTCCCTCTGAAACCTATAGGGAAGAACACTTCCTTTGCTCTTAGTGCCTTCTGGTTGAGCTCAGGATAAAGTGAGCTAGGAAGGCTAGATTTCCTAACTCATCTAATGCCGGTACCACTGAAATTGGAGCTGGGCTCCAGCTCCCAGAGTGACTCCCACTCCTGAGAGACATGGTCAGGAATCTATGGGTAGGGGAGCCAGGGTAGGAACCGGATGGGGCCCTGAGGGAGCATCCTGGGAAGGACGTCTTGAGTGCTGGCTCCCTGAAAAGCGCAGCAATACAAACTGTTGATAAGGCAAAGTGAAACTTCTTGCCTACCTGGGTAAAGGGGAGAATACTTGATGGAGTTATTCAGTCTAACAGAGTGGGGAGGTTTAATGGTATTTTGGATGTAAGGCGGGGCTGCTGAAGTGTGATGGCTTGATTAAGATTGGGTAAGGGTTAGGATGCCACAGCTCGTAATCAGTGAGCACAGTGAAGCAAAGGTTTTGAAGTGAGAGTTTTAAAGAGTCTTGAAGGGTAACAGTCCTTTGATCTCATTTATTGAAAAGTCAAGCATTTTAAAGTGGGTTTGCGACATCTATCTTCCTGGGTGAGAGTTTTTCGGATAGGTAAGTCATGTTGATAAAGATGATGAAATTTTAATGTCATGTTACTAAAGATAATAAGCAATGTGGGTGTACATGGGTTTCAGTTCTCAGACCTGTTTTTTTTTTTAAGTTTATTTCTTTCTTCCATGAGTGAGAGAGACAGAGGGAGAGAGAGAGACAGAAAGACAGGTACTCCCAACAGCGTCCTCATGCCACAATCTATCCCCAGCTTCAGCCAGCTTCAGTTCATGGACATGTTCTAGTCCAGCATGTTCAGGGATGTCTCTGGATATGAACCTGGAACCTTCCCATGTGGTCAGCCTTGCAGAGTGTTGCATTACTGCTGTGCCAGCCCTTCAGACCTACTTTTGAAGTGTTCCCATTTGGATTCTGGGAGAAAGCCTCATTTAGAAAGAGATTTAACCTTTCCCCAAGCAAATTGCAACTCAGTTTTAATATTTTTTTTTCCTGCTCTTCAGTAAAGGAACTATTGTACTCCATGTGCCCCTTGAAGAGGGAGATTTATTTCCACAAGAACTTGAAAGGTGTCAGTCTGATTGGTTAGAAACTGAGACCTTTAGTAAATCACATTTTATTCATGTGCTTGCATGTATGTGCATGTGTGTGCCAGTATGCTGTCTAGTCAGAAATTACTTAATTTTTTGCATCTATTTTCTTACACACAGCTATGGTCAGTCCTCTGTGCTGAGCAGTCCTTGGAAAGGACTTCTTTCAAAAAAATGTTCATGGGGCTGGCAGGGGGCATGGTGGTTGAGGCATTGGACTCCAACATGGGTGACCATGGTTTGAGTTCTGGACCTGGGGGCTTGATTTATCGCTTTCTCTCTCTTTCTCTGGTCAGATTAAAAAATAATGATAAGAAAAATTTAACAAATATTTCTTAAAAAAAAAAATGTCTAAGACCAGCAAGTGGCAAAGTGGTTAAAGTGCTGGACTCCCATATGGTTGACTAAGGTTTGGGTCCCAGATCTGGCTGCTTGAAAATCACACTGGGTACATGTGCATGTGTGCCCCAAAATTCCAGGAGGAGATTGAAGGAGAAGGAATTGTGACGTGGCCTTCCCTTTGAGGGGTGATTTCTTACTTTACCTCTCACTGTTGCTCTCTGGTAAGTGCATGCACCCTTTGGCAAAAATTGTTAAAAAAAAAAAAAAAAGAAAGAAAGAAAGAAAGAAAGGAAAAAGGTACAAAGCAAAAAAAATCCAGCCATATTTATACTCCAGATTCAGCTTCTTGTCTGCATGACTGGCAGACTTGGTAGATTCTGATCTTCTCCTTGGCACACTGGCTGCATCCCTTAACCAAAAGTCACAGCTCTGTCATGTGGCATTCTCCAAACAAGTCTTTCTCTTAGTTCTCATTCCTATGGATCTTGAGGTGGAAACTGCTATAATTAGTCCTGAGATATTGCACTTTCTCTTAGGATTTCCCTGTGCCTTTTTCACACTTTTGTAATAGTCTCATTTTATTAAACTCAGCTAAAATAATCTCATATAAGGGTGCAATCTCTTACTTATTGGGAGCTGACCAATAGAGGGCTTAGAGGAGTTGTTAATGTAACTGTTGTTTTGTTTCCCATTGGGTTGTAATCAGGCAATGGCTAGTAAGTATTTAATAAATATTTGTTGAATTAGTGAATGACTGAATGAATAAGTGGTGGGATTGGAACTCCATTAACTCTCTGAACTTCTAATATACTGGTGAGTATTCCCATGTTTGATGTACTTTAAGAACAGTAAGTGGGCATAGACTCTACAAATCATGTTTCCAGGGACCTATACTTTATTATGTTTGCCCTACTGACTCACGCCCAGGTATCTCTCCGAGGGGAGCAAAGCACAATAATATAAGGAGTATCTGAAATGCACAGAAATGATGAAGACATGATGACCACCAAGGGAAGAGTATGTGATTTCTTCAACTTAGAAATAAAAAAAGTTCAGACCACAAAATAAGAATATTGACATATCTCATCTATATAGTTTATGACTTTAAAGGAACCATACCAAATAAATTCAAGTGATAGCTACTAGTTATAAGTTTGTAAAATTTATGAGACCTTTATTATCATTAATACTGTCTTATGCATCATATTATTATTATATATGAGGTAAATTTGATATCTCTACCTTGTAATTAGACCTATGTTTAATATCAATTTCAGGACTGCAGGCTGCAGTGGTTCATGACATTTATTACAATTTTATGTCCATGCTGCATGTGTTAGAGGAACTCCTTCCAAGTGTGAAATGGAAGCTGTGACTTGCATGTCTCTGGGACACTCTAGTTATCCCTCTGGGAAGATGTTTTCATGGATAAAGCTCAGTTAATATCAGGCAGAACAGTCCAAAATTCCTCACAGTGCCCAGCCCTAAGGGAGGCCCTTGCTTTTTAAGATGCTGTCTACATTAATTTTCCTAAAATTGAGAGATTCCTGGATCTTCCTTCCTGGATTTCCCAGCAGGACAGATGTCCAAGGTGAATGGTCGAAATACACTTCCTCTTGGCGTAGAGCTCCACCTTTGATGATCTCAAGGGCACAGTCCTCCTTTGGAGATGCTTTTAGATCAAATTTCCCAGAAACTGCCGTTATGGCTGTGTCTGTGGAAGATAAAGGAAGACTGGGGTTACCCAAGACTAGTAGAGTTTCCATGATGGAAGGTCTACAGACACCACAAGCTTAGCTGTCAGGGGCTGCTTGCCAGTGCTTGCTCTGTAAGCTTCGCAGGCCTTATCAAGAACATAGAGACACTGGGTTTGTTTAGAGCCTGTTGGGAAAAAAGGCCCTTAGAAAAACAGAAGCCCTGCCTTTCTGAATGGAGATTTCCTGGGGAGTTAGAGGTGTGTAGTTGGGAGATCTGAATCATGCTCCTCTCTTGAGTGTTTAGGCTGGGGTGGGGGAGTAATAGAGAAAGCAGAATGAGGTCAGAGGTCACATGATGACCCAGTCACTAAGAATGTTGTATGATGATAACTTACCGACGTAGTAAAGGAACACATAGGTGAGAACCCAAGCGTTTGCTCCCTTGTCAACACCAGCCACCTTCACTTAGAAGGAAACCCTATTGCTACTCTTTCTCACCTTCCAAGTTTTCACATCCCTGCACAGATTCTTCTTTCTCTATCCCTTTCTTCCTTTACTCTGCGCATTCATCTTGTTCTCTCTTGTTCTGTAATTACTAGTTTATTACTGCTGAAATGAAAAATTTCTCACAATACTTGTTGCATGTTTTAGATAAATTGTATTTGCACTCACAGAAGAGTTGTAAATTCTGTACAAAGTATCCCCTTATAGTCTTCACTAGTTATGTTAACCTTCACATCACACAACCATTGTGCAATGATTAGGAAGGGATACAATAGAATTGGTACAATATTAGTTAACTAAAATACATACCGTATTTTTTCACTAATGTCTTTTGAGAGTTCCAGGATTTTATCCAGGATTACTCTTAGTGGTAATTTTGTCTTATGTTTCCTCTAGCCTGTGACAGTTCTTTAGTCTTTGCTTATCTCTTGTGGCCTTGACACTTCTGAAGAGTATTGATCAATCGTTTTGTAGAATGCCCCTCAGTTTGAGTTTGTCCATTGTTCTCTTATGATTGGAGTGAGGTTATATATATTTTGGCAAGAATGTCACACAAAAAATGATGATATCTTTTTCAATGCACCATATCAAAGGGCTCATGAAATGAATGTATTTTTATTGTAAAGTTAAGAAAAACAAACTCATATTTTGTAAGTACTGTATAGCAAGGTAATGGCCATTGGTTGTCCATAAAGAGATACGTTATTCAGACATTAGGTGTGTGTAGTGTCACCCAGCAAACTTGGTGGGGATCAGAGAGTGGTCAGAGGCATCACCAATGACAAAAGTGCTTCATCAAACAAGAGGCCTTTCTGTTACTGGTTCTTGGTGCATTATCTGAGTCAGGGAGTTTGGCACCTCTCCTTAGCCACAATGGTAAGGCAGCCAGTCCATCTTTGGTTATGGATTCCAGTGTCTTGAACCTACCTGTGTTTATGAGGCCGAGGATACAGAGAGTGATGGACACATTGACTTTGGCCGCAAAATACTCTGTTCTGATAGATGAGAAGAACCCATCCAGAGCAAACTTGCTTGCAGAGTAAGGAGCAATAAATGGTTGAGCCATTTTCCCTAAATAACAGATTAAAAAATGGGTTAGCAAGGTGACCCATTTCAGCTTTTGACAAAGATTATCTTTCTCTCTAACAGGCTTTGTAACCCCTATGATGTACCTTTACCCTTGTGAGCCTTAATTTTTGTCTATTTTCTATAGAAAGTAGTCTACCGTATTGAATCTCTAAAAGGGAATACATTAAGATACTGAAGGTGTGGGGCGTGGGCAGGCTGCTGGACAGCCTTCACTGAAGAGGGCTTGGTTGGATTTTTAGTAAGGAGGGTAACTAAACTGGGCTACAAAAGCCATATAAATCCCAGAAGTTTGATAAGAGCTCTCTGCTAACCCTGTCATTGGTAGTGGGGAAAGGTGTGTTGTGTTTTCTACACAAAGGGATAAAAATCTTTGCCTTTCTACCCCAAACCACTTGAAACAATAACAACAACTTCTATCAGCCTTGTTAATTTTCACTCCAGTTTTTTGGAGGGTATGTGGAAATATGCCTAATAGGATCACCTATTCTTTATATCTTTCCCAAGAGGAGGGAGTAGATGTGCAGCCTGTGTCCCAACACTCTTTGCTGATCATTGTTATAACAACTAGTTTAAAATCTTTGTCTGCTTATTCTAGAATTTGGGTCATTTTAGAAATTGATCTCCATGGAGTGCCTTTTATCCTAGATATAGACCACAGTTCCAATTCTTATATGTCTAGTAATTTCATATTGTATCATAGATATTAGTAGGAATGCATCATAGATTCTCTAAATTCTTTCCTCCAAAGACTGCTGACTTTAAAAAAATTTTTTTTTTAAATTGTACAGCTAACTTGGATGAAATGCTGTAGCTTTTTTTTTTTTTTAGAGGTTTTTGCTATAGGGCACGTGCGCTCACCAGAAAGACAGAGAGAGACAGAAAGACAGAAAGCGAGAAATCACCCCGCAGGGGGGATGGCCACACCACAATCCCTTCTCCTCCATTCTCCTCTTGGGATCTTGGGCATGCACGCACATGCACCAGGCGTGAGTTTAAGTCACCGGGTCCAGGACTCGAACCATGGTCAGCTACATGGGAGTTCAGCGATATAGCCATTACGCTAATGGTTGGTCCCAAACTCTGTAACTCTTGTAAGAGGTACCAGCTGAAATCTCTGTTCAATTATTTGCATTTTAATTTGACTCCTTGGTGTTTGAACTTCCCATGTATAGATCAGGAGACAACTAGAGTTTGGGGCAGAAATTATATATACAGTTAATTGCTTTTGCACTATAGCTCTCTCTCTCTCTTCTTCTTTTTTTTTTTTTTTTTCGAGAGGTTTTTGCTATAGGGCTCTTGCGCTCGCCAGAAAGACAGAGAGAGAGAGAGACGGAAAGCAAGAAATCACCCCCCAGGGGGGATAGCCACGCCGCAAACCCTTCTCCTCCATTCTCCTCTCAGGATCTTGGGCACGCATGCACACACACCCTGTGTGAGTTTAAGCCACCAGGTCCGGGACTCAAACTGCGGTTGACTACATGGGAGTCCAGCGACATAGCCATTATGCTGACTGTTGGTCCCATATAGCTCTCTCTCTTCTGAAATATCCCCTTTTACTTTCTGGGTGCTACAGTAACTCTAATCTCTTTCTCCTGCTCTTCAAGCTAGTGAAATGTCAAGTTTCTATCCTAGGTAAGACACTGATGAGGGCTGCCTTAGGTATAAAGCTATAAAATTCAGAAACTTGTCATTTCCTTCTTCCGAGAATCAACAACCCTCCAGTTTCTGCCTGCTTTTGGTTACTCTCCAGTGTGCTATACTTGCTGGAGAATGAGTTCTTACTTTTCCTTTCTCTCTCTCATAAGCACACATGCCCTATAGCACACACACACACACACACACACACACACACACACACACATTCATAAATAGAATACTCAGTTTTATAAAATATTAAATTTCCATATGTCGAAACTGTAACAATAATATACCACTGTAAAGGTGAAGGGCAGATGATAATCTCAAACATCAAATTCAGTTATCTCAATCTTCAATATATAAAGCAATATATAAAAATCTCTTATAAATAAAAAAAGTACAAATTCATATATTTAAGGAACCTCTCCAACTTTATCCTGGAACATGAGTTTTGGGTTGGGATGAGTCCATAGCCAAGTTCCAAGGAATGGGTGTGTGACATAGGATGTCAAACCAGAGCATCTGATATTATTAGACTATTGGCTAGTCTAAAGCTGGGCCAATGACCCAACCAAGCAGGTTCAGGGTCACACTGTTAGTTGCATAACCAGCACTTAGTTCTCTCTCTCTGTCTCTCTCTCTCTTTGCCGTAGGGTGTGTGTGCTTGCCAGACAGAAACATAGAGAGGGCAAGAGAGAAGTCTCCTCCACATCCCCAGGGAGGATGGCCACACCACAGTCCCTCTTCATTCTCCTTTGGGTTTTTGGCCACACATGCACATGTACCCAGTATGATGTTCAAGTCACCATGTCTGGGACTTGAACCATGGTTAGCCATGTGAGAGTCCCACACCTTAAACACCATGCCACCTGTTGGCCCCCTAAAATTCTTTTCTTATTCTCTAATATAACCCCAATAAATGAATATTTCTACCTGTTGAAAACACTGCTGGTATTCTTTCAACATGCCTTCTGCCCTTCTTCCTTAGTAGGAGGACCCTAATTTGTAGTTGGGCTCATAGTTTTCTAGAATAAATCCGCATTTCACAGCTTCTTACAGCCGGATGTTGTCAAATGACTAAGTTCTGTTTAATGAGATATGAGCAGAAGTATATTGGAAAGCTTTTGGGACATGTTATTAAAGGGAGAAGTCCGTCTTTTCCTTCTCACTCCTATCTCTGTCTTGGTGGCTGAAGATGGATTTTACAGCTGTGGTCCCAGAGCTGTCTTGGGCCGTCAGGTACAGGCCATATGTTGAAGATGGCAGAGCATAGAGCTAAAAGAAGGGAACTTGAGTGGCTGCAGAGTTGCCGTATTAGCTCCATACTGCCTACTTTCAGACTTGATTTACCTTCTAAATGGTTTAATCTGTTGTTATTTTAGGTTTTCTTGCATCTGAAAGTTGAGCTTAATCATTATTACTAGTCCTTCTCCCTTCTTTATGGTCCATGTGCCAAAGGGAAGCTGACATCATCCCTAACTCTAGGGGTGATCTATTCAATAGTATAATCTATTCATCCTGTTCTTCTTACTCATGACAGATACAAAATTAGGCACGTGGCCCATTTTGGACCAATGAGACTTGAGAAGAATTTTGCTGGAGAGTCGCAGAGAGTTCTTTGTTCTTCCGGGAGAATTTCTGAGAATCAGTTCTCTTTCCCATCTGCAGGACATTTTTTTGTGTGTGTGTATATGTGGGGGCTAGGCTACTACCTCTATCTCACCATCAGTCTGAAGTTTCAGCCACATATGGGAGACAGCAGAGCCAAGAGAATCACGGGGCATTGAGGTCGAGCCAAGTCAACCGTGAAGTCCACCCTACATATGGACTTCTAGTTATTTCAATACTTTTCCTCATTGCTTAAGCCAAAAATAGATCCAGATTATTTATAAAAATAGGATAGTAGTTAGATTTACGAGCTCTAGAGTCAGACAACCTGAGTATGAACCCCAAGCATGCTATGTCTTAGTTTTAATATATGAATAATACATTACCAGGCTGAAATAATCCATGTAACATTCTTAGCCAAAAATTTGGCACATGGGAAGCTTTCAGAAAATTGTATTCTTGTTAACAGTATTAGTATTCAAATTGATCAGAAAAGTATGAGCTATTAAAAAGGATGTTGGGGGAACCAGGCAATGGTATAACGGTTATATCCCTGGACTCCCACATGGCTGAATGTGGTTTGAGTCCCGAACCCGGTGACTTGAAACTCATTCTGGGTGCATGTGCGTGTGTACCCAGAATCTCGAGAGGAGACTGGAAGAGAAAGGATTGTGGTGTGACCACTCCCCGGAGGGTGATTTCTCACTTTCTGCTAACCTTCTCTCTCTCTCTATCCCTCCGGCAAGCACAAGCGCCCTATAGCAAAAATCTCTTTCTCTTTAAAAAAAAATATATATGTTGGGACAAATAGTTACTTGGAGGAAAAGAAATGTCATTCTGATAAATAGGATATGGGTAAATTTATAATCTTGATGTAAGAAGGATTTTTTTTTTTTTGGAGAGTTTTTTCTTGCTACAGGGCACGTGCGCTCGCCAGAAAGACAAAGAGAGACAGAGAGACAGAAAGCAAGAAATCACCCCCCAGGGGGGATGGCCACACTGCAATCTGTTCTCCTCCTTTCTCCTCTAGGGATCTTGGGCACACACACACACACACACACACACACACACACACGCTGAGTTTAAGCCACTGGGTCCAGGACTCGAACTGCGGTCAGCTACATGGGAGTCCAGTGACATAGCCATTGTGCTAACTGCTGGTCCCAAGGTAAGAAGTACTTTTTAAAGCATGAAATCAAATTATACACTATAAAAGAAGATATAAATAGGTTTGAATATATAACATTTTTTTTTTTTTTTGGAGAGGGTTTTTTTTTTCGCTATAGGGCACGTGCACTCACCAGACAGACAGAGAGAGACATAGAGATAGAAAGCAAGAAATCACCCCCGCAGGGGGGATGGTCACGCTGCAATCCCTTCTCCTCCATTCTCCTCTCGGGATCTTGGGCATGCACTCACAAGCGCCCGGCGTGAGTTTTAAGCCACCAGGTCCGAGACGCGAACCGCGTTCTACTACGTGGGAGTCCAGCGACATAGCCATTATGCTAACTGCTGGTTCCCAATATATAACATTTTAAAAACTGAAGTGTGCTTAAAATTGTTGCTATGGCCTTCTGCCATATTTCCCTATGAAAGAGACTTCTATCTAGCCATAGATAGTAATCTAGGGATAGCTGATTTGCATGCTAGATTGAGTAGACCACATGGTCTCTCTCCCTCAAAAAGTCGAAAAAGTGACATAAGGATGCTAATGGAAACTGTTGGATTTTGAACAA